TAGTCTCAGTTTCTTTTGTGCCTCCTGCTTTGAGGTGGCACCTTCTTACTTTTCTGGAGACCAGCGGATCATCGCAGCCTGGGTCAGCCACCGTGCGGGAACCTCAGGGTGTAGGACACTGGTCTTCCAGATATCTAGATTCACACGGGAAGGAAGTCCTAGGTGAGTGGCTAGAGCAAGGTCTGCGATTGGACTCTCAAATATTCCTGGATTGAGGAGGAAGTGGTTAAAAGTCAGGACACCTGTGTTCTATTCCCTGGGTGCCCGTAATCTCTCTGTGCCTCACTTCCTACTCTAGAGAAAGGAGTGTCCGGCCTCAAAGCCTTTCCCGGGAGTTCTCAGCACCAAGCGGGCTCACAAGTGTGTTACAAATGCGACAGTCACTGCGTGAATTTCCAATGATCCCAGAGGCCCTGGCACGGGCAGGTCTCTGGAGGACATGGGCCTCGAAGCATTAAACAGCCTAAATGTATTCCACCCCCTCCGCTTACCGCTCTTAAATGGAGTTCGAGGCATCAGCCTCTTCCTCCAACCAGGACCGGGGAGAAGGCAGCGTCCTGCGGAGAGCCTGCTGCAGCTGGATGTCGGCCAGGCTTCCCCTGGGAGAGAGAGCTGCTGCTGCCGCTGCACATTTTGTTAACAGGCGTGTTTGTGGCAAAACAAAGGCCTCTCCGCGCTCGCGTCCGAGACGCTCGCCAAGGCCATCCAACGCAGTCCCCAGAGTCTGCTGGGGCTCCAGCCCTGAGGCGGAGCGGCCCTCCGATCTTCCCTAGCGAGTTGGGGACTTCTCTGGCAAGACTTATTCTGGCAGAGGGCCCGTTGACCTCGCTGGGAGTCTTGCCCCACAGACTCGAGGCCTTGTCTTCCTGCGTGCAGGCAGGGTTTCGTGCAGTACAGAGATGGGGAGGGGGAACAGGGGCGTAGGCCAGGAAGAAAGGAGTTGTGTCCTTAGCTGAGACTTCAAACGGGAAGGAGAGGTGGACAGCTACAGGAAGGCCGCTCCTGGTAGCGGCTGCTGCAAGGAAGAAGACTTTTGTGGCGAGGGGTTGGACCGCCGGGGGCTGGTGAAGCAGCTGCCGGTAGGGAAGCCAAGTTGGAGACGGGCGGAGAGAAGGCAGAGCTGGGGAAGAGCAGCTTGGCACAGGGCGGCCCAGGGAGTTGGCTGCGGGGGCGTTTTGTGCTCCCTGGGACACAGGAGGGTGAAGAAGTGTAAACAAGCAATGGGAGGGAGGGGCGAGGTTCTCTGCCGAGCGGCTTAAAACTCAATGGCTGGGAGGCTTTATAATCTGTGATCCCAGGAATTTCTGGCCGTGGGGCGGCTGGTGACTACAGCCCAAAGTGCCTCTGGCTTGTAGTAGCAATTCTTCGCATTCCTCTTCCCTCTGAGGGTCATCAGGGCTTGACAAAGAGCTTCACAGCGCCCCCTCTTTAACGAACTCGGAGTATCCCCAGCTCTCTTACACGGGGCTAGGGTGACCAGATGTCCTGATTTCCCCCCCCCTCCCCCCCCAAAAAAATCCCCATCCCGATTTTTCACACTTGCTGTCTGGTCATTCTACACGGGGCACGCCGAGGCCCTGACTCCAGTCCCCTGCTCCAGCCACTAACAGAGCCGACCTCTCAGCACGCCAGGCTGGGGGGCCTGAAAGCGACTGCAGTTGACCAGCAGAGACGCAACTGCTCTGCGCCACTTTCTGCATTACGCTTCAGCTCTTCTCCCGCATGGTAGCTGCTGCTGATTGCAAGCCCCCGAAGCGGTCAGTGGGATTCGGGCACCAGCTGAGCCGTTGTGGAGATGGTTCTGACCTGAGCTCGAACGCGGCTGGTGGTTGCATTCACGCTGTCTGCATTACAGACCCTGCTCGCCTCTTCGGCCCCATGGATGGAGTTTCTCTCCCCTCTCCCTCTTTCTTTCCCTAACTAGCTTCCTGGCGGGGGTCCTAGTGTTGCCAGGACGGGTCCCTCTGCTGTAGCCGCTAGCAGGATGGGTTTGTCTGGGAGGACCTCGTGCCTGCACGGCTGTATTATCACCACCTACAGCCCTGCTGTGCTAGACACCTCTATCACCCCTGCCACAAATTGCTTACGGACCCAGTAATCTTTTCTCCTTTCTGCTGTAAAAGGTTGGGGCTCTGTCCTGCTACCTCCCACAAGCCTGCTATCACATTACATCCAGACCTGCGGCACCATCTGCTCTTCCAGCCCTGGGCTCCCACACAGCTCTGCCTCCAGTCCCGAGCTGCTGCGCCCTAGGGCGGCTCAACCAAATGTCAGTCGTTCTGAGTTACGTGGTGTCTGTGGGTTGTTTTGGTGACGTTTTCATGTGCACCATCCCAGTTCGTTTTGTCAGCAAACTGCAAACACGCTCAGGTCGGGCCGAGGCGCAGGCCGCGGTTTTGTAATTGCTGCGTGTCCCTGCGTGATCAGACAGGCGAGCAAGCCCTTCCGTTTCGTAACTGGGGGGTGCCCAGAAACCCGCAGCCCATGCAAAGCCTCTGCCTCTCCAGGCTGGAGTTGGTAAGACAGGGCAGCCAGGTGAGAAGGGGAGGGGACTGGGCCATCATCCGACACAGCTGGAGGTGGGGAAAAGTCACGTCCTGCATAAATGAGCAGAGATGACGCCGTTTAGATAAAATACGTTCCCATAGGAGGTGGGGTTGGGAGTGTTAAACTCCAGGCTTTTCTAACCTGCAGAGAAAAGACATCAGTCAACGTTGCAAGGAAAGATGTAAAATCCCCCAGCCTAGCGACTGCCTGGCTTGGAGGCAGGCTCAGATCTATCCCGGGTTAACAGCGAGCTGGTTTCATAGAATATCAGGGTTGGAAGGGACCTCAGGAGGTATCTAGTCCAACCCCTTGCTCAAAGCAGGACCAATCCCCAGACAGATTTTTACCCCAAATGGCCCTCTTAAGGATTGAACTCACAACCCTGGGTTTAGCAGGCCAATGCTCAAACCACTGAGCTATCCCTCCCCACTGAGCCTCTGCGGTGACTCCTGCCTGAGAGGAGCTGGTGGGGATCTCCTCTCCGTCCGGAGCGGGCACCATACCCATTAGCAGTGCCTTTGCTGGCAGTAGCAGAGAGGCCAGGTGGATAGGACCTGGAGACTGTGAGCACATTGGGGGTGTGTGGAGGCGTGTGCTTGCACTGGTAGGTGTGAAGAGCCTGCCCCTTGTTTGTCCCTGTTGGTGTGTCTCCCAGTTGAGCCGCGTGGCTGCCACCCGGCACGTCATGTTCACCACCAGACGTTTCATTTTCCTTTTTTTTTCTTTTCTGTGTGTCTGTGTGTTTTTTTTTCCATCCCATGTCCTGCGCGAAGACCATCGTGCGGGGCAACAAAACCGCCAAGGACGGCTCCCTGACCTGGCTGCTGGATGAGTTTGAGAACATGTCGGTGTCCCGCTCCAACTCGCTGCGCCGGGACAGCCCCCCCCTCCAGCCCCGCCGTGACCAGCTCTTCCACCAGAACGGCCTCAACGAGGGGCCGGCCAAAGCCCAGCCCCTCGAGGACAGGAATAAGGACCACAAAGAGAGGGCTCACCACCAGGCCAGGAACGAGCTGGATCGGGACAGGGAAAGGAACCGGGACAGGGAGGAGAACCGGGCCCACCCACAGCAGCCCCGAGGGCAGGAGCCCAGCGGCAAATCCACCAAGCACCCTGGCGGCAGGCCGCCCCCTCCTGAGTACCACAAGCCCTCTAAGGAGGGCAGGCCCAGGGCCCATGACCGGGATGGGAGGCGGGACTACCCGGCGGAGCGGGACTACAGCGAGCCGGCCGACCGCGTGGTCAGGCGGGATCGCAATGACGCCTCCGATAAGAGACCCAAGTCCACGTACACCGGGGAGAAAAGCCCACAATCCCCGCGGGACAAGCGCCCGCTCTCCGGGCCCAATATCCGGACTCCAAACATCCCCGTCTCCGAAGGGGTGATGAAGACAGCTCAGCAGACCGGCCGGCCTTTTAATACGTATCCACGAGCTGAGACTGACCCTGTCAGGGGCACAGGTTCTCAGGTAAAGGTTCCCCCACCCCTCAGGCCATGATCCAGGTTAGGTAAGAACCGAGCCCTCCTGACTATCCGGCAGCTAAGGCTGAGCCGTGTTCGGGCTCGGTTCGCTCCTAGCCTGCCATCAGTGCCCCCAGAGCAGATGCACTCTCCCAGGCAAAGCACCCCCCCTCCTTTGCTTCAGAAGTTAATCCTCTGCTAAGCGGCTTCTTCCATAAGGTATATCCCCTCGATCGATGTAAGGCCTGTCGAACCAGGTGTTTCTGGCAGGCTGCTGGCGTGGGTGGCGGGATGGTTTGGTGGACGCTTCTGTGCATCATGGCGCTAAACGTCTACCGTGCAGCGAAGATGGCTCGTTCCTTTCGAACAGCTGCACGCTCTGCAGGAGCCGGGTCCCTGGACCGCTGCCTCTGAGCCCTGTAGCAAGCCGACGCCACCGCTACCCTGGTCTCCTTCAGCGGCTGCATGCTCTGCATCACCACTGGCTTGGCTCCCTGTCCTCCTCTCGCAAGCCTTGCACTGCCGCACCGCGCTGTCATCCGGACGCAGCTTTGCTCCCTGCACTGTCTCCTGGAACTGCACCTGTCTCCTCTCCACGCGCTGCGTTCTCGGTAGCTCTCCCGCCCTGCGCACCTTTCCTGCTGCCGCCGCGCTCCCCGTAGCAATCCTGCACCACCGCTGCCCTGTCCTTCCAACTGCAGCCCCGCGCGGTGCGTTAGGAATGCTGACGGACGCTTGAGGCCTCTCTCGCAAGGCCGTGTCCGGTAGAAACACCTGTAGCTGCTGTCTGGATGTCTGGTTTTCTTTTTCCTTTCCTCGTACCTACTCCCTCTCCCCCACAGCCATCCCAGTGCAGATCTCTCTCTCTGTCTCTCTCTTTCAGCAATAGGTAAATGCTAATCACTGCTGTCTCTCTTCAGACACTGTCTCAGCAGGGCTTCTCTGGTCACCCCATGGGAGGATGCCACACTGCCGGCTTTTCCTCTTCCTCCCTGTACCCTATTGGCAGGGAAGATTTCGGAGTGGGAAGCGGCTTTTGCTCCGTGCGAAGGCAGTCAGCGAGCGGGGGGCCTGGGTCTCCCGGCCTCTCTGTTCTAGGTTCAGCTTCTAATGTGCTGTTTGTCTTTTTTTTTTCCCTCTCTCCTTGCAGGCAGAGCCCAGGTCTGCGAGGCCCCAGGAAATGGCGTCCAATGGGCCAGTAAGCGGGAGCAGTAGCTCCTCCAAGGTCCACCAGCCAGGCCAGCCGAGGTCCAAAAACCCAGAGCCGCCCCATCCGGGAATCTCCCCGCACGCATCAGAGCCCCTCTTAACTCGCATCCCCCAGTCAAACCCCCAGCCGTCTTATTCCCAGCCGCTGCCGCCGCCTCCTCCCCCCACGGCCTCCCAGCAGCCCCGCTCCCCGCAGCGCGAGCCCCAACGGGTCTCCCACGAACAGTTCCGAGCCGCCCTGCAGATGGTGGTCGACCCGGGCGACCCCCGGACCTACCTGGACAACTTCATTAAAATCGGCGAAGGCTCCACGGGTATCGTCTGCATCGCCACGGTCAAGAGCACGGGGAAGCTGGTGGCCGTGAAGAAAATGGACCTGCGGAAGCAGCAAAGACGCGAACTGCTGTTTAATGAGGTAGGTGGCACATCTAATACACGGGAGCTTCTCCGCACCTAGGGGGGAGCCCCCCTTCTTCAGAACCCTGCCTTACGGACAGAGGATAGTGGGGACCGCAGTCCCCTTCGGGCCGGAGGGTGTGCTGTCAACGTGGGGCGTGCAGTCAGCGCCACTATTGGGGTGCAAACTTGGAATCCTAAAGGGGAGCAGTCCATTTGGCCAGTCTCTTTGAAGTTGGTTCTGTCATGCTGTCCCCTGCATGGAAAGTGTCTGGATTTGGGGGGAAAGGGTGGGGGGGATGTTTTGGAACATCCTGTACACATGTGCATTGCTATGTGTGGGAGAAGGAATTCACCCTTCGTTCCTGAGGGAGTTCGTTCCACAGTCTCAGACCAGGCCCTGAAACGGCTTCGTCTCCTGGACAGATGAGCTTCGCCCTTATTGCAGAAACTTGTTCCTAGTGCCAGAGGGGTGTCGCTGATGACCGGGATCTTCATCACCGAGTTTTAGTCCGTCTTTTAGCTATCCTGGGCCCAGGACGTTGAGTGCCTTGAAGATAACGGCAGAAAGGTCTTTGGCCAACTCAAGATGCAGACGGGCGTTCAGCGGGGTTTTCAGAAGCGCCTGAGCGAGTTAGGTGCCTGACTTGCTTAGATGATTTTGAAAAATCTCACTAGGGGCCCGTCTGCGTCTTTAGGTGCATAAATTCCTTTACAGAGCCGGCCCTTGGGCTCCCAATTCCCACTGACAGGTGATGAGACTAGACTCAGAAATCAGTTCTGAAAATCGATGTAGGCTCCCCAGTTACATAGGTGCTCCTGGTCCCTGCCCCCTTCTCCTGATGAGTTTCCAGTCTGACATTGGCTGTACCAGGTCTTAGCGAAGGTTACGGCCATGAAGTCACCCAGTGGCAGGTTATGGGTACAGGCACTTGTCTGTTCAGGGAAAAGGGCTGGCTTCTGGCTGCAGTGGGGAGAAGAGAAGGGCTCAGATAAACCTCCAGGCGTTGGGAGGGCGAACTTAAAGGAGCAGGGAGCATCCTTTGGGATGATCCTAAGGGGATTAATTAGGAGAAATGGGATGCGGTTAAACCGTGGAATATTTAGGCTGAATCTCAGGAGATGCTTCCTAGCCTTGGACTCTGTTACCGCAGCTTCTCTCGCACCGTGGTTCACACGGTACAGACTGGTCACGTGGCGATTGGCTCCTCCTCGTTTCCAGCTGCGAAACTGTAAGGAGCTAAAAATGCATCGGGCGCAGCGAATGTCCCTTCTCTGTGTGAGCAACTGCAGCAGATTCCACTGGGAAACAGGGGTGGCCTTGATTGGAAAGGGGGGTGAGTGACAGGGAATGGGAGGGGGCAGGGAGCCAGGAGGCAGAGACATGGCCGTGCTGTGGGGCGCTTTGGGAGCCCTGCTGTATGTAGCTGCAGAAATCGCCTTCCCTTGGGCAGCCCCGTTGCCTGAATCTCTTTAATCTGGGCTGGAGAAGGCACCACAAAACGCACCTCCGGGGAATGTCGCTGATCAAACAGGCCTGTTAATGCGGCGCTGTTACGGGTCCTTGTTAACCCTGGGCCGTCTGTCTGACCCTGAGCTCCCCAAGGGCAGCCACCCGATGCTTGAAGGTGCAGTGCGACTTCCTCCTTTCAGTTCGCTGCCTGGCAAAGCCCCTGCGTTCAGCACCAGCCCAAGCTGAGTCTCCGGACTGCGCGGGGAGAGGCAGGATAGACGCTGGCTGCTCGCTGAGCCCTCTGCACTACCCCGGGTCAGCTGATGGGTTCGGATAGACACTCCCCATGTGTGCCTAGCATGGGCTCGTTAGGGCGGGACCCCGTTAGCCTCGTTCCTCCCCGATCGCCGAACCAGCAACGCCCAATCCTCCCCCACTAAGCACTTACTGTTACCTCTCCCTCTGTGACTTCCGTCGCCCACATGGCAAATGCCACAGGGATACAGTCTCCTTGTAGAGCGAGTGCCACCCGAGCCGATCTCTAGCTAGGCTCTAGGGTGGAATTTCTGGTGGGGTGAACCCACATTCAAGTCAGGTTTCTTTTCCCCTCCTTTCTAAAAAGGCTTTTCCTCTGCACGTCATGGAGCTGCGTCCTCGTTTGCATTGCCGGCTCTTAAACCCCACAGCCCCGTTCCTCTGCCGGCGCCGGCCGTAATGCCCCGCTCTGCACCCTGCTTTTCAGGTGGTGATTATGAGGGACTACCAGCACGAGAACGTGGTGGAGATGTACAACAGCTACCTGGTGGGGGACGAGCTGTGGGTGGTGATGGAGTTCCTAGAAGGCGGAGCTCTGACGGATATCGTAACGCACACCAGGTACGACATTCTGCCCTGGGGCCTCGCACCTGGGCCAGCTGACCCCTCTGAAGCAAGGTCGGCAGCAGGCGTGGAAGTCCTAGATACAAAAGGAGCACTAGAAATGCCAAGGGCTGAACGTGTGTGTCAGGCTCCAGGCCTGTGCCTGGCAGTGCAGACACCAGGGAAGCCAGGCCGGATGGGTCTCAGTAGCTCCAGCTCAGGAGGGTGAAAAGCCGGAGGGCAGGAGAGGAGAGGGTTAGGGAGATGGAGGGGTAGGTTATGTTTGTGGGTCTCTCTCCGCCGCAGGGTTAACTCGGGTGCTGCCCCAACTCTCCCCTGAGTTCAGTGGGGCTGTGAACCCAGGCTAGCTGGCCCACGCGGACCCGAGTGAGGCTTTCATGCAGGCTGGTAACCTGCCCACTTCTCAGTGAGGACGCAGGCTAAATCACCGAGCACGGATAATCTTCCAGTGCCTACCCACAAATCTCTCTGTGCGCCCAGGACAGACACATTCGCTGCGAAAGAGGCCTAGAGCGGCTCCGCTTCCTGCAGCGCGAAGACCCATGGGGTGTGCCCCCAGTAACCCTAGCAACGCCCCTGGGGGGGAGCGCAGCACCCGTGACTGGCTACACTAACCTGAGGGGGAGGCTAGCGCGGGACTGTATCGCTCTGCAGGGATGACCCACCCAAAGAGACTAGCGCCAGCCCCAGACAGGCTACATCTGCACTGGCCAATCAGCTCGGATGACTGGCCCGGACTCCCTGGGCCAGCCCGGCCCGCGTGCGAGCAGCCACTCTGCAGGGCCGTACCCGAGTTACTGTGTCTCTGCGCTGTCTGAGGACCCAGCCCAAGGTTCTCTGGGAAATACTCCTGGTGTCTCAGCACAGTCCCTTGGGGGAGAACTCGTCTCTCCTTCTGGGGGAATTGTGGGAAGGGCATTGGAGGGTTATCAGGGCTCCAGTGACTTAGCCGGTGTCCTCGCTTTAGAGTGCACGGTTCCAGCTCAAGTTAAAGCAGAGCTGAAAATCTAGGGACAGAACCCAGGAATCCTGACTCCCCAACCCCCACTGGAGCTGGGGACAGAACCCAGCAGACCTGACTCCCAGCCACGCTGCTGGGTCAGCTAGCTGGGCTTAAAACCCCTCCAAACCCAGGCCAGAGGTCTTCCTGTGTAGACGGTAGGGCTAGAGCCCAGGTTCCGTGTGTAGCATAGCTGTACCCCAGAGGCGAGTTTGGGGTGCAGGCATATCCTGTTCTAGGGGTGGGGCTGCCGAGTAGCTCTCTGAGTTGCTTTTCTGCCTAGCACCCCCGCCCCATTGTGCGTGGGTCTCCCTTGCGGGTCTGCAGTTCTCCGTGAGCCCATTGCGTTCAGGTAGTGATCAGAGCTGGGTGTATCTGCTAAAGGCAGGCTGGGACTTTCCATCCTGGCTCTGCCAGACTCGCTGTGTGACCGTGAGCAAGTCCTTCCTCGGTTTCCCCATTTACGAAGTGGTGATAATGCTTCCCCCACCTAGGGTGGGTCTGAGGCGGAATGAGAGCTGGCAAAGCCCTTCCCGCCGGTCTGACGCTGGGCGCTACGCCAGGGCAGTTCCCCCTGTTACTGCAGAGCACTGGGAGGCGGGTGGCTTGTCGGTGCTCTGAACCTTTCTCTGCTTCCAGGATGAATGAAGAGCAGATCGCCGCCGTCTGCCTGGCTGTCCTGAAAGCACTTTCTGTCCTCCACGCCCAGGGGGTCATCCACCGAGACATCAAGAGCGACTCCATCCTGCTCACCCACGACGGCAAGGTAAGTGACACACACGCACACCCACCCACCCACTTCTGCCGTAGCTGTGCTGGGGGGTCCTGTGGTAACAGAGGATTTCTGCACCACATGGAGCTGGGTGAATCAGCTGTGCCCTCTCCCGTGGGGACAGCGACACCTAGGGGCACATTTCGGTATCTCTGCAACCGATAAATCGCTGCGTAAAGATAACAAGGAGTCCGGTGGCACCGTAAAGACTAAAAGATTGATTTGGGCGTAAGCTTTTGTGGGTAAAAAACCCACTTCTTCAGATGCATGCAGTGAAAATTACAGCTGCAGGCATTAAATACTGACACATGAAGAGAAGGGAGTTACCTTTCCAAGTGGAGAACCAGGGTTGACAAGGCCAATTCAGTCAGGGTGGATGTGGTCCACTCCCAATAATTGATGAGGAGGTGTCAATACCAAGAGAGGGAAAATTGCTTTTGTAGTGAGCCAGCCACTCCCAGTCCCTATTCAAGTCCCAACTGATGGTGTTAAATTTGCAAATGAATTGTAGCTCAGCAGTTTCTCTTTGCAGTCTGTTTTTGAAGGGTTTTTTTGTTCAAGTATGGCTACTTTTAAATCTGTTGTTGAGTGTCCAGGGAGACTGAAGTGTTCTCCTACTGGCTTTTGTATGTTACCATTCCTGATGTCCGATTTGTGTCCATTTATTCTTTTACGTAGAGACTGTCCAGTTTGGCCGATGTACATGGCAGGGG